TATCCTAATAAGTTTGAGAATCTGAAAGAAATGGATGATTTTCTAGCAAATATCGACATGCCAAAACTAAACCAAGATGATTTAAACCAATTTAACATACACATGTCAAGCATAAAAATAGAAACATCAATAAGAGACCTCTCACCCAAGAAAAGCCCAGGGCTAGATGGATTTACAGCTGAATTCTACAAGGCCTTCAGAGCAGAACTCACACCAATACTCTTCCAAATCTTCAATGAAATTGAAAGTGAAAGTTCACTACCAAACTCTAAGAAGCCATTATAACCCTCATCCCCAAACCAGGCAGGGATTCATCAAAGAAAGAGAACTATAGATGAACATTGATGCAAAACTTCTCAACAAAATTTTGGCCAATCGACTTCAACAACTCATCAAAAAAATTATACACCACGATCAAATAGGATTCATTTCAGAGATGCACAGCTGGTTCAATATATGCATATGAATTAATATAATTAATCACATCAGCAAGAGCAAGGATAGAAACTACATGCTTATCTCAATAGATGCAGAAAAGGCATTGACAAGATCCAATACTCTTTTATGATGAAGGCTCTGGAAAAACTAGGGAGCCATAGAACATTCTTCAATATAATAAAGGCTGTGTATGACAAACCTACAGCCAGCGTTATACTTAATGGTGAAAAACTAAAGCCATTTCCTCTGAATTCAGGAATTAGACAAGGATGTCCATTCTCTCTGCTTCTCTTCAATTGAGTATTAGAATGCCTACTACAGCAATAAGACAAAATGCAAACATAAAGGGAATCCAAATAGGGAAAGATGAAGTAAAACTCTCCCTCTTTGCAGATGACATGATCTTATATTTAAAGAATCCCATGGGCTCCACTCCCAAATTACTCAAGCTGATTCAAAACTTTGGCAAAGTAGCAGGGTATAAAATTAATGCTCAAAAATTAATGGCTTTTCTGTATGCCAATAATGAAAAGAGTATGGCTGAAATCAGGAAAGCAACTCCTTTTGTAATAGCTCCACAAAAAATAAATGATCTAGGAGTTAACTAAAGTAGTGAAGGACCTCTATGATGAAAACTTTAAAAACCTGAAAAAGGAAATTAAGTGGAAAAGCCTCCCATGTTCCTGTATTGGGAGGATTAACACTGTGAAAATGGCAATACTGCCAAAGGCTATCTACAAATTCAATGCAATATCTATCAATATCCTAACCCCATTCTTCAAGGAAATAGAAGCCACCCCAAAATTCATATGGAACAATAAAAGACCCTGAATAGCAAAAACAATCCTTAGCAGAAAGAACAGTGCTGGAGGAATATCAATACCAAATTTCAAACTCTACTATAAAGCCAAAATAATCAAAACAGGATGGTACTGGCACAAGAACAGACCTGAGGACCAATGGAATAGAACTGAAGACCCAGAAATGAACTCACAGGCCTATAGCCACCTAATCTTTAATAAGGGAGGTAAACAAATAGAATGGAAGAAAGACAGCCTCTTCAGTAATTTTCTTAATAGAGACCCACAAACACAACATATGAAAGAAAGTTTGGACAAATGGGATTGCACGAAATTGCAGAGCTTCTGCATGGCAAAGGACATAGCCAGCAAGATCAATAGAAAACCCACAAATTGGGAGAAGATCTTTACTAGCCATACAATGGACAAGGGTCTCACATCTAAAATATACTTAGAACTCAAAAAACTAAATCCCCATCAACAAATCCTCAAAGAAACAAATGCCTGATAAATACAGGGGCTAAAAACGTAGAGAAACTTCTCTGAAGAGGAAGTAAGAATGGCCAATATACACAGGAAGAAATGCTCAACCTCCCTAGCCATAAAAGAAATGCCAATCAAAACAACATTGAGATACCACCTCACCCCAGTTAGAATGGCTATTCCCAAGAACTCTACTAACAACAGATGCTGGAGGGGATGTGGACAGAAGGGAAACTTACTGCATTGTTGGTGGGAGTGTAAACTTGTTCAACCACTTTGGAAAGCAGTATGGAGGTTCCTCAAAAGACTCCACATAGAGCTCCCTTATGACCCAGCAATCCCACTTTTGGGCATTTACCCAAATGTTCACAAACAAGACCACACTAAAGCTTCCAGCACGACTATGTTTATTGGAGCATTATTTACCATAGCTAAAATATGGAACCAACCCAGATGCCCCTCAGTAGATGAATGGATCAAGAAAATGTGGTATATATACACAATGGAATTTTATGCCTCCATCAGAAAGAATGACATTGCCCATTTGTTAGGAAATGGAAAGACTTGGAAAAAATTATATTAAGTGAAGTAAGTCAAGCCCAAAGAAACATAGGTCCCATGGTTTTCGTTATTTGCAATAACTAGTATATGTCTGAGTCAAGCAGAAAAGGTAGGTAAGTTCATGTTAGGGAAATGAGCCCTAAGATATGTATTCAAATGTTTTTTCTTTCATGTGATTGTTTCTAATACATTTATAAGATTATTTCTTTGTTGCTTTGTATGTCCCTCCCCCACATATAACTCCTGCTTTCACTGTATTTGATGTCAGTATAATTTGTGGAGGGGAAGGGAAAAAAACAAATCGTTTAACTTGGGATACAGGTGGACCCATTGCAACAATGAGATGTACAAGTTGTTAGGTCGAAAAGAAACTTTACAACTTTGGTGGGGAGGGGGAGGATGGGAAGGTATGGGAAGGGGAAACAAAGGAGGAGGCTACAATGCTTGATACGAAATGATTGGGTGGGGGGTTGGTGGGAAGGCAGGGAAGGGATGTGAAGGGTAAACAAAGGAAGAGGCTGCAATGCTTGATAAGAAATGTACGCATTATCCTGCCCATGTAATTGTAACACCTCTGTACAGTATGTTCACAAAAAAAAGAAAAGAAAAGAAAAGAAAAAGAAAAAAAACGAGAGAAAAAAAAAGAAATGTACTCATTATCTTGCCCATGTAATTGTAACCCCTCTGTACAGTATTTTCACAATAAAAAAAGAAATCTAATAACAACAGATGCTGGAGGGGAAATGACCAAAAAAGGAACCCTACTGAATTGTTGGTGGTAGTGTAGACTTATTCAACCACTTTGGAAAGCAGTATGGAGGTTCTACAAGACTCCAGATAGAGCTCCCCTGTGACCCAGCAATCCCACTTTAGGACATTTACCCAAACAATCACAAACAAGGGTATACTAAAGCTACCAGCACAACTGTGTTTATTGCAGCATTATTTACCATAGCTAAGATATGGAACCAACCCAGATGCCCCTTAGTAGATGAATGGATAAAGAAAAATGTGATGTGATGTGATGTGTGTGTGTGTGTGTGTGTGTGTGTGTGTGTATGTATTGTAATGGAATTCTATGCTTTCTTCAGAAAGAATGACATCACCCCATTAGTTGGGAGATGGAAAGACTTGGAAATATTAAGTGAATTAAGAAAAGCTCAAAGAAAGCCCTTATTTACAATATCTAGTATATGTCTAGGACAAGCAGAAAAGGTCAGAGGCTATGTACATATGACCATATAATATGATGTTAAGTGAAATGAACACCAAGATAGGGACACAACTTGTTTTTTCTTTCTTGCTATTGTTTTTAATGCATCTAAAATGTACTATGTGATTTTTCTGGTTTAATTTGTATGTTCTTTCCCCCGTTATAACCCGTTTTCTCTGTATTTGACGTGGGTGTCCTGCATCTTATATATACATTTTTCTAATTTGGGGAGGGGAAGGGAAACAACAAAATGCTGAAACAAGGATACAGGTTGACTAATTGTAACAATGAGATGTACAAGACAGTATGTTGAAAGCAAACTTTACAACTTTGAGGGGGGGGGAGTTGAGGAGGTGGGGAGGGAAGGGATGGTAGGGGAAATACAAAGGAGGAGGAAGCAATGTACTCATTACCTTACTCATGTAATTGTAACCATCTGTACACTAATTTTACAAGAAAATATAAAACAGCTTCTGTAGAAAAATTTTAATGAAGAGGAAAGCTACAGAATAGGAGAAAGGGCTTGTTAACCATTTGCCTGTCAGAGTTAATCATCAAAATACATTAGGATGACAGAAAATCATGACAATAAAAAACAGGTATTGAAATTATGTGCTAGCAAATGAGCTGAAATAGTGGAGTAAGTCAGCATGGAGTTGAATATCCCAGACCTTCCCTGGGGCTCTTGGCACCTCTGACACAGGAAAGACTGGTGGGGCAGGGCTTGGCTATTGTTCAGAACTCTGCCCCGAACCTCACTTCCCTTACCCCCCTGCTCACTCCTCACCAACATGAGCACAAATTCAAAGGCCCCAACTTTCTCCACACATACATTCAGTGGTGTCAAAATTGTGAACAAAACTATAATCAATGTACATGCATCATATAGGACCAAGATGAAAGGATAAAAATGGCTAGTTTGAACTTTGAAGAACCTGCTTTCAAAACAGAGCATTTAATTTTTTTCTGAAGTTTATTTTTATGAATTTATTTTAAAATTATTTTATTATCTTTATTTTTTAACTTTCATTATAAAGGGATTTTTTTTACTGTCAGTATAAAGGGATTTCAATTCAATATGTTAATTTTAAGTAAGACCTAGCAATTAAGAAGATAACATTTATACATAGAGGAGAAAATTATGAATTGCTTATACTTTTCCATTTTCCTAATGAAAAATATGAGGCTTTTAAAAACATACATTCAGGATCAGAGTCAGATCTTGGGCTCTATTATTCCAAGATTCAGCTCTCTGCCTCTCAAACACTGTCACTCTTCATTGTAAAGTGGAAGACATGGCTGTGTGTGTCCTGAGATCTATCTCACTTCCCAGAACTGCAGGTAGGTGAGAGTGACCTCAGCATCTCGCAGACCTGCCTTGGCCCTGAGGCTCTACATAGTTAGAAGGCATCTTCCAGTCTTGAGCAGTCCTTGCTCATGCTCACCAAGTACCCCGGACTTCACTTTCCTAATTAGCTTGAGCATAAACAGAGAATAGTTGGTACTTAGGAATCCTTGCCCTTCACAACAAGTGAGGACTTAGAAAGCCACTGCATTGAAGATGAGCTTGAGATCAGCTGGCAGGAGGGCCAGATCTGAGCCTGACATTTCATTTTACCACTCCAAATTCTAGCCCTTGAAAAAGTGTCAGGTATTTCCAAGAAATCATCAATGGGAGAGGATTCCACTTTCCTGATCTCATAGACGATCCCCCATAGACATAACACAGCTCTCCCAGTGCTGGGACCTCTAGGTAGCAGCTCTGTTGAGCTTAGAGTCAGGCTGCAGGTGCACACTGAACACTGTGCATCTGTGGCACAGAAGTAAGCAGCAGTGTCTTCAGTCTGGGAAGTCAAGATGGACAGGGAACTGCTTCTGGCAGAGGTGTCCAGGGTGATTCTTAGCTGTCCACTGCTTCTTTCTCTCTCATTTGACCTTATTAAAATTAGCATGGTGGGTCCTCTGCCAGAATCCTGTCTGTACCACTGCAGGGTGATTATGTCAGATTTGTAACTGCAGTTCATGGTGGCATTTTCACCCTGTTGGATACTCAAGGTCTGAGTTTTCTCTTCTTGTTGGCTGTTCACTCCTAGAAAGAAACACAAGCCAGAGACCAGGGAGTCAGTTAATTGTTCCCAGAGTACATTCTAAATTCAACAAGAAGATTCAACTCTAAGCCATGTGGCCTCTGAAATTCAATGTCCCTGTTCCCATACTAGCAGTCACAATTTACTGGCCACATGAAGCCACAGAGTTATCAAGAACACTTCAAGTAATTTTTTCATCCTTCTTGCTTTTGAGGATCACAGGAGATGCAGCTGTGGACCCTAAAATGGAGTCTGGCTCCTCAAGCACAAGTGTGGGTTCCTCTTGTTCCTGAGAAGGTATCTAGTTCTTCTGCTTCACAGAGTACTAGGGTTTTTTTGCCATCCAGTCAGAGTCAAGCTTCTTTATTTGGTGTTATTTTATATTCAACTCTCTCTCTCTCTCTCTCTCTCTCTCTCTCTCTCTCTCTCTCTCTCACGCTCTCTCTCTCTTTCCCCTCCCCCCCCCCCCCCGATGCTTGAAACCCAAGAGCTTCTGAGGAGATGGAGGCCCTGCCCTGTGGTAATGGCCGCAGCACTCCGCTAGGAGAATGTGATCTGAAAAGAGGAAGAATGCAGAGCTGATGCAGAAGTTTGCATTTCCTGCCATTATGAACTCTGATTCCAGATCAGAGTAAGAATGTATACAGTTTAAGTCAGGCTAGAGATCAATGAAGGAACAGTGCTGGAGACAGAACAGCTTTGAGAAATACTGTTAGGATCTGTATAATAACTCTAATCTTTAAGAAAATATCTGTTGTCAAAGGCATTGGCTTGCACGACTCCATCTGAGGACTTAGGTCCTGTGAGGGTGCATATGCTGGCATGCACAACCCCTGGGGAAGGAGAAAACTCCTTCCAAGTCTGGGCAAAAGTCCAGACATCCAGGGGCTGGGAAGGTGGCTCAGTGGTAGAGTGCTTGCCTTGCATGCATGAGGCCCTGAGTTCGATTCCTCAGCACCACATAAGCAAAAAGAAAAAAGCCTAAGCCTCAGGTGAAGGCATGCAGAATGCTCATGCTCCTCTGAGTAATCTCATAAACAATGCCTCCATATTCCCTTTGTGTGCCTAAAGAAACCCACTTGCACTTTGCTTACTCTTTATAACCGTTGATCCCATAGAACTGCTTCACATTTGTTGAGGCTTAACTCTTCCTGCTCACTGACCAAAGTTTAACTTTCATTGTCTGCATTACTGTAAAACTGTTTATGATGAACTTTCTGCCCCTCTGACTGAAGATTGACTTTCTATGCCTATATGCTGTATATAAGCATGTGATATTTCCAATAAACTTTATCTCTACCCGCAGGGTGTGGTCCACTTTCTGCCTACCAGACACCATGTTCCCAGGTCTCACTGTGTGAACAGTGACAATCTGTGATCTCCTTCTGTGAAAATAAAAAAGTTTTTTTTTTTTTTTGCCTAATGCTAAAATTATGTGTAACTCAGAGTTTCTATGGATGGGCAAGAGACATGGACTCTAGTTGGATTAAGTAGAAAAGAACTGGGTTTGTCTCAGAATCCCCAACAGGGTCAGGCAATTGGATGCAAATAATATGCAGACAGAATAGGACAGAAAGTGCAAAGCTCTGCACATAGAGCAGTGTTTGGCAGGTGAGGGTTAGGAGCTGCCCTTCTTCTCTTTGGGTGGGGATAGAAATTTTGCCCTTGTGTTTCTGGTACTAATAGGATGGCTAGGGAATGGCTGAGTTTTGAAGAGTCTGGCCCGGAAGCTGATTTTCAAGATTTGGGATGACCAGCTGCTGGAAGTTACAGTTCAAAGCAGTGTTTCTAGCGCCAACTACTATTTGCTTTGATGATAAAAGAAGAATAAAAAAGGATTAATTTTCTAGGGCCATTTTAAAACAAATGAATATAACCAAAATCACATATGAGGGGTCACACCAGCTTAAATTCCCCACATATGGAAAAAACGAGGGTACTTCTTATTCCTGATTGTAGACCAGCTCTTCAACTCCAGACACTCAGTCATCACATTTTTCCAAGGTAGTAGAATGCCTTGAAAAGTGTCTAACCATCTTTCTACCTTTCCCCACTCTACATGAATTATGGCCTCTGTTGCCAGACAACCTGGAGACCTTCAGTCTTTCCTGACTAGCCCAAGGGGGCTTGATCAACTACCTGAGGACTTTATATCCCCATCCTATAGCACAATTAATCCCTCCTAGGCTCCCTCAATGGTTATTAGAAAATCATATTCAATTCTGGTCATTGTAGGTGGAAGAAAAATGGTCCTTCTGATCATCCCTGTCTGTTGGAAGGGTACCTCTGAACTTGTCCTATTTTAATCTTGGGTTGTTATTTTTTCTTGTATAACAGTTGAAGGCCAATCACACCCTTGGCGATTTTTGAGATTATTAATCAAGAGGTTAAAGTAGCTGTGACAGAATTCACTTCTGCTATGGTAGAGTGAGTTTGAAGAGAACTCTGGTTTTTACTGGGGAAAGCCATGGCTAGTGCCCGAAGTTCCTCAAACTGCTTTGGACAATAAATTTTCTGCTGCTGATATCTGAAAAAAAAGAAGGAAAGAAAACGTCATGACTATTTGTGTACAGAGGTGCATAATAAGATGTGTGCCCAAGGGATGTGGCGTACCAGTTATCAGTTTAGTGACTCTCAGCTGCAAATCCACCCTGTACACATTTCTCCTTGGCCTCCTGGCATGCTACGAAGTTTTATCAGTAGGCAAGGCTGGAAGGACACTTTCAGGAGGATGAGGTTTTCCTGTATGGTGCTGGGTCCCTGCAATTCTTGGTGAGCTTGGCACACCTGGGGACATGGCAGACATGTGCATTGACAGCCACACAAGTGGTTACTTGGACTTATAAGCAGCTTTGCTTTGCCAAGAGATTAGTAAAGCACAACTTGAGATGTGAGGAATGGGGAAATACAAGATGTCCCAAAATAGGTGGCACAAGGCACAATCCTGTAGCTCAGGCTTTTTCTTTGCTTTTCTCTCTTTCCCCTCCCCCTTCTCCTCTCTCACCTTCTTTCCTAGCTACTATGATGTAAGCAACTCTGCTCTGTGAAACTCTCCCTCGCATGATGGACTGAAAACTATAACACTGTGTGCAAAAATAAATTATCCCCTCTTTAAATTGTTTTCTTAGGTATTTTGATCATAGTGACACAAAAGTAGTAAAGACAGTACCTGATTCCCTGTTGTAATGATCAATGTTCATTGTAAAGTTGCCTTCTTCAAATCACTTCATTTCTTCCTCAGGATGGCCCTTGACTGCAGTAGGAATATGTGAAGTGCCTGAGAGCAAAGGACTTTGTTTCAGAGGTCAACATTCACAGTGGAGTCTACAGAGCTTGGGAGAAACTGCTGGGATGTAAGGAACACAGGTGGGTGGCTGGAGGGACAAAGCAGGTAGAAAGGTGGTTGGCCCTTCTTAACTCTGCCTGGTCACCTAGAAAATAATGATTATTCTGCTCTGCTATATAGTTATTATTGCAAAAGTGCTTTTCTGGGTATTTCTAAAACTATAATTATTTAAAAAATTAATTTAACAAGAGATGCTAATGAGAATCTTTGTGGACAAATAGTTGAGCTCAATCTGAAGCTAACGGACCACTTATGACATTCATTTTAAGAGGTAATTCAGTTTGGCTACCTGGAAATGCAAGCCCCACAGTGGCCACAGACAGCTGACAGGAAGTAGTTTGTATAAGTCTGAGGGTTTGTGCTCTGCTTCCTTTGCCAGAGCAGCTACTGTGGGCTCAGGGCACAGTAGTACATGGCTGAGTCATCCTCCTGAGTCCTGGCCTTCTGCAGGTGGAAGGACTTCTCACTCTTATTTAGAGTGGCCGTGAAACCTTTGGCACTGCCTCCAGAGATGTGTTTCAGGAGCAGCTCGAGGCCTTGTCCTGGATGTTGGATGTACCAGAAGAGCTCAGGACTCCCAGAATAGGAATAGTTGCACTTCACCTGCACAGGGGCTCCTTTGAAGACAGAGATGTGGTCCTCAGGCTGAGCTACTGCCTGGGCTGTAATTCCTCCTGAAACATCAGTTCTAGATCAGAGAAACTGCAGAAGACAAAATGATTCCATGTCAAAACCCACAGAAAGGCTTGAATGAGAAGCGACTACTCACTCAATGCCAGCATGATCAGGAGTGCTGCGATGAGGGTAGGCTTCATGTCCCAGATGTGAGGTGACGAAGAATTTTCTGGAACCTGTTCAGCTACAGAGAATCTGACAGAGCAGAGTCATCTCTGAGTTTAACTCTTCCTTCCATCCGTACAGCAAGATGCTCTTCCTCGAAAGGTTTGCTGGCTGCTTGGCTTCTAGCTTAGTTCAAGTTACGCAGCAACGCTCTCTAGAGGCCAAAATTGACACTGCAGAGAAGGTCGGGTTGCAGGTCAATCAGCATCGGGACAGAAAGAGCAAGGAAAAAAAAATTGTCATTAGGGAAGTCTATAAATAGACTTTAATGGACTAGAACAAAAGTCTAAGAGCACCAAAGCCTGTGTGTGCAAAATTAGCTAAAAATGTATCAAATATGGAACATTTGCTAAAATGTGCTATCTTGAATGAAAAATCACTAGAAAATTAATCAATAAATTTGGATATATCTTTCTTTTTTGGTCGTGGGTCTTGAACTCTGGGCCTGTGTGCTGTCCCTGAGATCTTCAGCTCGAGGCTAGCGTTCTACTTCTTGAGCTACAGTGCCACTTCCAGTTTTCTGGTGGTTAACTGGAGATAAGAGTCACATGGATTTGCCTGGGCTGGCTTTGAACTGCAATCCTCAGATTCCAGCCTCCTGAGTAGCTAGGATTATAGGCATGCTAAGCCCCTGGCTGGGTATATTCTTAATAACCATTACAAAGTAAATTTTTAGCGGATATAATAGTTATATTTTAGATGGAAAAAAATTGAGAGACCCATTTATTAACGTATAGTATTAGAGTAGATTTCTATGCATGATAGAAAGAATACAGGAAAAGGTTAATAGACCATACTTTATAGAAATTTAAGCTTTTGTGCACGTTTATTAATGAAGTCTTTATATATATTATTGTAAAAATAGAGTACAGAGGGTTTATAGCTACACGAGTAAGGTAATGAGTACATTTCCTATCAAGCATTGTTACCTCTTCCTTTGTGTTTCCCCTACCATCCCATCCGTCCCCAACTACAGGTGTTTAACCAATTTTGCCAGCACCATTTACTGAAGAGGCTGTCTTGCTTCCATTCTATTTGTTTAGCTCCCTTATCGAAGATTATGTGGATACAGATCTGTGGGTTCATTTCTGGATCTTCAGTTCTATTCCATTGTTCCTCAGGTCTGTTCTTGTGCC